CGAAGTCCTAGATATCAACAAGGTATAATAGGATTGATATGCTAGATATATCAACAAGTGCATGTGAAGTGAGCTGTTGCTGGGGTTGGATAGAACTCTGAAGTTAAGCGTGCTTGGGCTGGAGTAGTGTGAGGATGGGTGACCTTTTGGGAAGTTTGACCACGGAGTGTGATTTGACCTAAGATTAAGCATATTGACTCGAGATTAAGCCATAGTGACCTGAGATTAAGAAAACAACGAAAAAAAATTGAAAAAGAAAATTAAAAAACAATTTTTGAAAAAAAAATTGAAAAAAAATTGTTATTAATGGCGCACTTCTATGTGGTGCGCCATTAGTATCCCATTAGTATACCAGATACTAATGGCGCACCGTGGGCTATTCTAATGGTGCACCAGCGGTGCGCCATTAGTATCTGGTATACTAATGGCGCATCACAGGTGCATCATTAAAAAAAGTGACCTGAGATTAAGAAAAAAACGAAAAAAATTGAAAAAGAAAATGAAAAAACAATTTTTGAAAAAAAAATTGAAAAAAAATTGTTACTAATGGCGCACTTCTATGTGGTGCGACATTAGTATACCATATACTAATGGCGCACCGTGGGCTATTCTAATGGCGCACCAGCAGTGCGCCATTAGTATACCAGATACTAATGGCGCACCACAGGTGCGCACCACAGGTGCGCCATTAAAAAAAATTAATGGCGTGGTGCTAGTGGCGCACCTGTAGTGCGTCATTAGTAGCGAAAGCAGGTGTGCCAGTAGCAGCCCTTTTTGTAGTAGTGGCTCCAACATTGTTATAGTTATTTCCCCTCAAATTAGTATACAATAGACATTTTTTCATAAAGGGTGGATTTTAATGACACAAAATGAAGCATCAAGGGGATACAAACACAATAAGCGCACATCCAACGTTTTCATGATTAGGATGCTCACAATCAACACTAACATACACAAACAAAATCACGACGGAAAAGAGCAAAGTCATGAGGAAAAAGGAAAGGAAAAAAAACTCTGAAGAGGTCAAAACAACGATCGACGAATTAGAACAACAACCGTCCTTACCAACCATCTTTTGAAATCATAAAGACAACAAGAAATGTTCTCAAGTAACAACACCTCTAGAAAGAGAGTGACTATCAAGCATTATTGTCGCTGGATCCAACCACCAAAGGTAAAATCCTGGTTTTTCACCTTGAAGATAAGGTTCGAGCAAATCCGACCAATGCCTTCAACAAGGAAATGATGAAAAAACAACGTCATTGCCATGTATAACCAATTAGATTCAGACCTTGGGTTTTCACCCCGGTGCTCTAGATCGGTTACTCGAGAAGCACCACCAAAACCAAAGTCATCATGTGTTGTCGCCGCCCCTTTCTGCAATCCCAGCAGCTACATGTGTAGCATGGTCCTAATATGAGGTGCCACGCAAGTGACCATGCCCGTGTAAGAAGACAATCAAACTGTGTAAGTTCCAGTTTCCACCAAAGCTCTGAAACAACGAAGGTCGTCGTCGCACATGCGACAAACAATTGCAACGAAGGAAGGTCATTGGCACCACCAAAATTCCAATTGGAGACACTCGGACAGTCCCACATTGTCCTCATGCTCCACTGTCCCCATCTGTGGTGGAAAAATTGGTCGACAAGACATACTTTTCATTGCAGTCCGATCTGAAGGTCCAAGACTCCGCCTGATCGGAGGACCACCTAGGAAAACGACACCATCCTACGCCTAAGCGGAGGACCGTCTCATTGAGATGCAGAAGGTTGCCTCTGCCGCCCGCGTACCTACAAATGGGATTGCGGCCACTGGCGCCTCAACACTGAATATCGTCGGCTCGGTCAAAAACACCATGCTACTGCTGCACAGCCATACCCTCTACTTCAAGTCATCGCTTATAGATAGCATTCCGCTGCCAAAGGCTACCGGAGCAGAGATCTCTCCGCTGTCGCCTTCATCAACCAGTGCCGGGATTTAGCAGCGAGGGGAAGGGAGGACGGAGAGATAGAAGATTGTGGCTGTGGGGACGATAAGATAGAAAAAGTTCCATTTGAACCCTATAAATTGTTGCACGTCTGTCACCATGGCAATGATTGGCAATTGATTGAGGATGGGAAGTTGCAACTACTATGATTGTCAAGACGAAACATACCTTTGAATTCCAAGGAATATGCATATGAGTACCAGAACAATGCCTCCTAAAATTCGCAACCAATCCTCGTTGCATTGCCCTTTGTCCTTTTACCTTTTTTAATTGGGAGTACTTGCATCAAGCCTTGTGGTTTACATTCAAAAAATGTTTTGATGACTGAGACCTACTTGTTTTTGTAATAATGGCAAATTGCTTCAGAGTATAGTTGAGACTTGAGACAACATGGAGTGTATCGGAGTTGACATTGTGGCTGTCTACGTCTGAGTTGGGATGCCACAGTAACTATTGACTAGGCTGGCTAGTGACTGAAACGTTAAGCTATGCATGGAGTAGTCAGACCTAGATACAATTTATGAGTAAACGGCAATGTGTGCTTCCGCTGTAAATGTCGCTATGCGTAGTTTGGTACTCCCTCCATCCAAAAACAGTGTCGCTGATTTAGGACTAAAGTTGTATCAAATCAACACTTATTTTGGACGGAGGAGTATTTATCTTCCTCATCTAGTGACAGCTTGTACAAGGTTAACAGCAAGAGTAGTTACGAAAATAAAGTTGTCGGCTCAATTTGAGTAGTGATTGGATGGAAATCAAGCCCAAGTTGTCAGCCAGTGTGATTACTTCCGGTTTACACAAAAAAGCTGCCTAAGAAATCGTGTGATTCATATCAGTCAACGTGCTTGTCATGTTTACACATGATGATGCACCCTAATTCCTTCCGACGATCTCCCTCCCCTCCCGTGACGCTC